TATGCGAGACGCGGTACGCACACACACACCGACGTTCGCGGTAATTACGAGCGCCCACGTGCCGACATCGCAGTCAACACCGCCGTGCACAGTATCAGCAGCAAACGTAGGCTCAAGTGAACAACGTCATGCCAACACGAACACAACATGTGCGCACGAGGCATCGATACCGACAATAGGCACCCCAAGTACGATAAATTATCGGGAAGACCTCATATGGGTTAATCTGCCTTGCGGTGAACCTAAACAAATGCCACGTTTAGCAGCCGAGGAGCTAAAACGAGCAGTGATAGCGGAACGTTCACAGGCTCAACAAATTCTCGATCTTCAAAACTGTTTAGAAGCTATGTCAAACGAACACGACAAACTTATAAGACAAAATGAAGATCTGAAGACCACGAACAATAACCTCCTCACCAGACTACAAGCAGCTGAAGCAAGAGTTCAACAACAAAACGAGCGCACACGGTTTAACGCGACGCGCGCAGATAAAGCTGTCAACTTTCGCGATACATACAGCCTCATCAATCCGGACTTCGATCTAACTATAACCAGCCCGAACGTAAATCCCCATGCACGAATCTTCTGCTCGACAACGAAGCAGCAGACAACACAATACGCGACAGGGCCAACAATTGATTCAGCCGCACCAGTTAGACCGGTCGACAGGATGCAAGCGGCCACGCGATTAAGGGAAGCTGAGTTTCCCAACGCGATCCCTCACATCCCCGCAAGCTCGAGCTAGGGAAGGGGGGTCACATCTTCAAGTCGTCCGCTCTCGCAAGCGACGGGCGCGCAATAAACGGCCGCTGCGCAAGCCCAAATCCCTTCGAGCTTCGGTGTCCCCAATTGGCGATCAAGCCCACTTCTCGCAACCTCCCGTTCGATGAGTTCAACCAGGAATTTAGGTAAAACCATCAGGGAATGGAAGATTTCTTTTGCGGGAGACGGCACCATCAGCATCGAGGAATTTTTGGAGCGTGTTGAAGAAAACTGCTGCCTAGACCGAATAGCGGAAGACGAGCTTTTAGACTCGTTGTCCACCCTGTTTCGCGGATCTGCGCTTCGATGGTATCGCTTGCTACGGCCCACATGGTCGTCGTATGAGCAGTTCAGAGATGCCGCGCTATCCGCCTATAGTAAATCCAGGAAGTACAACCGTAACCTATCGGTTGAAGCACACCTGCGGACACAGGGCCCCGATGAACCGGTCCGCGATTACCTTGCAGCGCTGAATACTATTTTTAGCCGCTTCAAAAGGCCGTGGAGCGTCGCAGACCAGGTCAACTTGGCAATCGATAATATGTTGCCTAAACTGAAGAAAGAGTTGAAAAAGACTCAGAACTACTTCGCGTCGTTACCGCAGTTGTTAGCCAAAGCAATGGAAGTGGAGATCGCGGAGTCCGACGAACACTGGAAAGCTCCCCCCTCCGCAGAACAGAGCATGCTGCCAGACGCGGCATACCAGCCTAGAGTCAAAGCGCCGGCGAGGGCCAAAGCGAGCATCGCGTCTGTGGTAGAAAAGTCTCCTTTCTCCGAGGCCGACTTCGAAAAATCTTTCCAAAAGTTTTTCGATAAAAAGTGGCAGCAACTTGCGGCGGCTAAGAAAGGGCTTCCCGTTCCCCTTAAGGACGTAGCACAGGAACCGACCACCGTCGGCTCTCCGAAAGATGGCAAACCTCCGGCCTACCCGCGTCAACGCGTGGGAAGACGGAGCGGGGCAAGCGGCCGTGGCCGCCCGGCAAGAAACGGCCGGGCCCAAGTCATCACTCCCAAGTCGGAGCAGCGACAAGAAATCGATCGAGTGATGGATGACCTCCTGCCCGAACCTTCCTGCGAGCAGCTCGGCTGTACCGGATGGATCGAGCACGACATCGACATCGGCAGCGCGCGCCCAATTAAACAGAAATACTATCCGGTGTCGCATAAGATCGAAGAGGAGATGCACGTGCAAGTGCATAAAATGCTGCAAATGGGAATTATTCGTAAGTCCCGCAGCAAGTGGTCTAGCCCGGTGGTGATGATTCGGAAACCCGACGGCGAATACCGATTTTGTGTGGATTACCGGAAGGTGAATAGCTTTACTCGCGTGAGCGACAGCGCGGCTACGGCCCCGAGGAACGCAACGTCGCTACGAGCCTCAAGGCCAAGGTAGACCCAGCCCCTGCGACGAAAGAGCCACCTACCCTCGAAGAGGAGTGGAAGGTCCTCCAGGCTCACTTCACCGCCTGCAGAAAGGCGCGGCTAGCCGTGGAAAAGGAGGAGGAGAAGGCCTACCGAGACGGACTCGCCTTCATCGACCGTCATGGGCCCCGTGGTCTCGCTATCGCGGGAACCTACGCGACCCGGCTGCGGGAGGCAATAGAGCTCAAGGCCTACACCCAGGAGGCGACCGCAGAATGGCGAAAGGAACGCGAGGCTCGCAAACAACGCGAGGAGACGCGACAACGCTTACGAGAGGAGCAACGTCGAGCCCAAGAGCACCTCGAGACGGTGAAACGGCAGCTCGCAGCCTTGGGCGACCCACCGACGTCACACTCCCGTCGAGCATCCAACCAGGCCATCCCGAACGACCGGACGCGCCGCACGCCAGGCTACTTTGCCCTGCAAGGAGCCGCAGGAGACGAGCCGTGCAACCGCTGGGCTGGTCCCCGTCCCGACCTCTTCGGCAAGCGGGCTTGCTCCACTTGCGGCATCACAGGAGTACCTCGAACCTCCGACTGCCCGAATTGGTCGAGGCACGAGCTTTGGAGGAGCGGCGGACAGCAACCGTACTCGTACAGCACGGTCGAAACGCGTCAACGCAGGGAAGCCTTCCTTCGAGTTCGAGAGGAGTCGTCGGTCACCCACGCGGACGACGGCGACAGACGAGTTGTATCCGGACACTAGACCTAAACCTAAGTGCTACGACCATCCTCGCGACCTCGCCCTCGAAGTTTTCCCCCAAGAATCAGGCATTGACGCCCATGTTTTTCTTTTCTCTTCTTGTTTTCTTTTTCTTATCACGCGTTATTAGATTTGCGATCCGCGCGAGTAGAGAGAGTCGCGGTAAGCTACATTCCACCTAGAGCTTCTAGTGTATAGATAAGTAAATAAAACATATTTTTTTACCACTACGATGTCTTGATTTTTCTTTATCAATTAATTTTCCTTGCTTGGTGGAGAGAGACAGGTTTTTCGACCTGGTACGCCCTGCTACCCAGTCTGGGGAAGGGGCATATAACGAGCGGCCAGACCCTCGTTATGTCTCTCTCTCCCCATACATAATTATAATTATTCTTATGTATATAATTGTCTTATATTTATCCCTCATGTATGGCAGCCAAAGGTAAGTCAGAGAGAGCGCTAATAGAGGGCGAGCTAGAGAGAGAGAATTCGGGAGGCCGGCGCGACGCACGCGAGTAGAAGAGTTCGGAGAGGCGCGCGATAAAGACTTGCTCTTGTACCGGCGACTTCGAAGCACGTGGACGTGTGACGAGCGGCTATACTCGTGCTTGCGATCTTTTGCTGACCGACTTTTCGCGACTAACTTTTGTGACTGACACTTCGGTTGCCTGCGAATACGCGATTGTCTACTCGGTGTAAGATACCGGTGCTGAGATTGCCCCTAGTGCCTTTGGCGGGCTAGTTCCTGCGACCACGCGTGCGAGTCTTTAAGGCCGCCCGCTTCTTGATTACACCCGAGCTGCACACTGCGCGTCATCGCGAGCCACGTACGAGGCTGAGGACATCGCCTGCAGGGCTAACGCCGAGATATTATTGTAAGTACCTTCTCGAATACATGTCTCTCTCGCTAGCTTTTCGCCACTCTCTCTCCCGCTTACGCTGCGTATTAATTTTGTATTACTTTCCGTAGTAAACTCGATGCTATTTGTATATCTGTTTTCTTCTTTTGCGCTTCCTTTTACCTATCGTAATCAATCCCGTTCCGTCCGGCTTTCGCACCTAAATTTCGTGATTATTCCAAAGCGCCCATAGGACTACACGACGCTCTCCGCGGGCCAAGGTAACAGACGCTGCACCACAACGTTCCTGTTGCCGCTGGGCTAAGCTTTGCGCAGCCTATTACGAGGCCCACACCGAGCTGTTTATTCCCCTCGTAATTTATATAACGAGTGACCCGCGCTGGGTCAAAACCCCGTTATATTATTAACACCAAACCAAAACAAACAAGTTTAAAGATATTAACTAATGAAGAATCTTTCATATTTATTAATTGAAGAAAAAACATATGTATACATATAAATTTTTTCAATATTTCATTATTTTAAACATTATGTACGCGTGTGTGTGTGTGTGTATGTGTGTGAAGAGGGAAGGGTAAGTTTGAGTATATATTTAGGATTACAAGAAGATAAATTGTGCATCGTTAAATTTGGTGATGTTATATTTAGATATTGTTTTGGAAAAGGACCGTATGAACTTATAACAAGAGTGATTGACCTTCTAGGAATGTCTCTCTCTCCCAGCACTTCGATATGTTGTATTTAATTTATTAATGATATTCAAACTATGTTATAATTTATATAAAACTTGTAACGGCGTGAGAGAGGTAGCAGAATATGGTAGCTTTTTGTAAAGAACAGAGAGAGATCGAGAGAGATAAAGGACAGGTTGCGGCAAGCGTGAGGGCAAAAATCTTAACTAATTGACGTAGCTCGCATAGGAGTTAGGGCGGAGAGTACTCAGAACGTTCTCGATAAGGCTAGCAAGCAGACGTGTTTTTGCGTCCTGCAAGTGTTATTGTCGTTGTTATTATTCTAGCGAGTTCGTTGTGCGTGCGAGAGATAACGCTGTCCCCGTTACAAATTTAAGCCCTTTTTCGAAATTGTCAAATATTTACGCGAGATTTTTTCATAGCTATCATCAAGTAAGTTATTTACTACCAAAATAACGTGTAATGATTGGCCAATGTATTCTACATACTATATTGGTCATTTTATAGTAATTGAAGCCAATTAATTAAAAAGAAATGTTCAAGTGACTTGTGACCTTTTCTCTTACCGCTACAAATATGATGTTCAAATTCAAAAGAAATTATCAAGATAACTTTATATGAGATGAATTCTTATAAATTATAATGATATAATATAGTATTTAATTTCGTAATTAAAATGACCACTAATTTTATTGTTTGGAATTTCTTATTTCTGAACATAATCATTTATAACCAAGAATTGTTTCGTATATCTTCTTTTAGAATTAGATTTTTCGCCGCTTTTTTCTTATATCAGCTAAAGTTTGTTCGATGCTTCTTTGATCTCTCTTGTTTTCGCTTGAAACTGTAATAAAATTTATGTATTATCAAAAATAAACGAGATATTCTTTCATATAATCTTACCACATCCGTAGTTACAATTTGTTTTCGTTTTTCGAGCAGCTACGAGAGCACTTCTTTTACCAATCAAGTGTTCATATTTATCTTGGTAATTCGTGTTTGGAACAAAGTTTTCGTTAATTTTGTTAGAGTCAATTTTTTCTGATTCTTTTTTTAAATACATTTCCTTTTCTCGTAATTGTTTGTCTTGTCCTTCATTCCATTCTTCCCCTTTTCGTAAAGCATTCAGATGCTCTTCTGATGGCGCATGCTCTTTTTTAAAAATAACAATGTGTCTATCAATTTCTTCATCACCAAAAGAATATGCTAATATATTGGCAATTTCACAAACGTCGTGTCTGCAACCGATAAGACGATATATTTTTTAATGATTGATAAATATATTCAATTACATGAATTAAAATAATATAATTTCATACATTATACTCCTACATATTTGATTCATTGGCGGAAAACTATATTGTCCTAAAAAATCGTCCTTCAAAAAATTATTTACTTGTTCCTCAATCTAGAAATGAAAAAATAAAAGAAATAATAAATTAGCAATTGTATAATTTTATTGTATAATTTTTTGAACAAACCGAGAATAGACATCATAGATATAAGAGATATGTACATAATAATATTTCTTGACTAAGACATTCATCTAAGTAATTAGTAATTGATACGGTTACCCTTATCTCACGAAAAAATATTTTTTGGACTAGTGAATTCGTTGCGAATTAGTTCGTATAATTAGGTTTGGATACTCCTTTGAACAAGATGATTCAAAAATATATTATAAACTCCGGTACCATTGGACTCATCTCGAAAAGTTATATAAAATGTAATTATTGGAAAACTTTCATAATAACAAAGTGATTAGATAATTAATAATAAATGAGGGCCAAACAACATTAGACTGGGTTGAGACAAATGATCACTCGTCTGTGAGTAGATAGCGGAAAAGGGAGCCAGCTAAAGGAATGTAATTTTTTTCGAAAATAATACCACTATATCTCTATTTATTTATAATTGCATTACATTAAACGCAATAATTTGCACAGTGAAATATGGATCTAATACTAAAAATTGTTATTTAATACAATTAAATATAATTTGAATAAAATTTTGAAGTAATGGACCAGTCGGAATATCTGCTAGTAATCTACGTCACATTATACTATAACGAGTAGCTCGCAACTACTTTGAAGCTCGAGAAAACGAGCATGGATGTAAAAGCGTCACCATGGCCGTGAAGACCTCGTGAGAAGCGCCGCTTCTGGGTATTGAAGGTCACATGATACGGAAAAGCAGCGGATAAGCTGTCTTTGGGCCGGTAGGCTGCAGAGCAAAAGAGCAAAACGAAGGGAGGGCATCTTAGTCTGACAACAGGGTAAATGCGTGCGCATCGATTTTGAAAGGTAGAGGAGCGTCTGTAGGGAAAGGGAACTGTTGAGTTGTCGCTCGACGGCGAAATTTTCCTTCACTTACTCTCACTCTATCTGTACTCGAGCGAACACTAGTTTAAAAAACTGTATTTAACTCTCTGTTTCAAATTATCGTTCATAGCGTGCGTTGTTCTTTTTGAAAATTTGTGACCTGCGATTTATATTTGGCCATTAGATTTAATCAGGCTTTTCCCGGTTCAAGGACGGGGTTTTCTTTTTATTTTTACGTCGCATATTCTTTCTTTGACATCTTAGTAGTAATAATAAAACTGAAACATAACCTGATCTTTGATTAAATTATTATTTCTGCTCAATTCTCAACACATGATGTTACTGAGTACTGAAACAAACGGCTAATAATTTATTGGTTTATTTCATACGGACTCCGCCGTTTGGGTTTGTAAGCGCGTGGGATTTACAAGTTAAGTTTGGTCACGAAGGATTTCGTTTTTTGGAAGACCGATCAAGTGAAACTTCAGTTTGAACTTGTTTCGCAGATTGTTCTCCGGACATCCGGGAAGGCCTTTGTTTACTTGTGCTCAGTCGAAAGCTATGGAAAACTGATCTGTTTCTAAGATTCGATAAATTGTTTTGATACGGCTCTGACGCGAGCATATGGAATAATTCGTGCATTAATGCATTAGATGAGGTCTTCGTGTGTGTGATACAGTATTTATAAATTGTACCGATGATTATTGTTTCTATAATATTAATACTCAGTCCTCCATAAATTAGTCCAGAATGGTACGTTGTAATTTTCTTATGTTGTCTTATCATGATTATTGTTTCCTTAATATTATTCAATGCCTTCTCTTGAATGGCCTAAGTTTCAGTTTATGGGGTCCACATCTCTAATTTTATATCCGTTCCAGACAAATAGGTTGACGTCGAGTAAAGATTTGTTAGGTTAAGGGTCAAGTTTGGTTTGTACAGGTAAATATTTGTACTATTCTTATTTGTTTCTGTAATCAAGAATGCATCTTTAGTATATTCGATGCAACCCGGGCCAATTCTCAGAATTCCTACATCTTGTATATAAATCATTTGGTACTTTTGGTACGGGCAAACGATTCAAATCGTATCTTGTCGCTGAGCTGAAAATATCCATGAACCATCCATCGATATGTAATTCCAATTGGTTATTCATTGTATTTTTAGTACTATATCGCAATAATATAATTCGTGACTAGATGATTGTAATAACATTCTCAATTCATAGTTTCTATTAAGATGAGTATCTAATAGGGGATCTCCTACTGGAAATATGGAGGTATAATATGTTCGCCGACAGTTTTCTAATGAATAGTGATTCATTTGTATGTATTGTTTATGGTCCAAGCTTAATGCTTGGTATGGGTATTTGTGTTTTACGTATGTTGACTTTCCAATTATTTTCGGCAATTGCGGTACCAGCTCAGAGTACAGACGGTAAAAATTATAATAGTTTTTATCGACTACTAGCAAGTGGACAACAATGTACGTCCTTCCTTCTTGATGTATTGCGTCAATGTTCGAAATTCTAGCAATTTCCTCGACTCTGAGGGGTTCTGTTGGAATCGGAAAATCAAAGTCCGTCACAGTATGTTTTATATCATTAGCTATTTGGTGCAGCTTGTTGGAGTCTATAAGATCCGGATGTACGAGGTGTGTTCAAAAAGTAAGGTGACTTTGTATTTTTAAGAAAAAATATTTATTTATTTATCAATATTTATGTTGTCCCCTTCAAAGTAATCCCCCTTAGATACAATACACTTATGCCAACGGTTTTTCCAATCCTCAAAGCACTTCTCATAAGCACTTTTCGGTATAGCCTTGAGCTCTTCCAGCGATGCAGTCTTTATCTCTTCAATCGTTGCAAATCTCCGTCTTTTCATAGGTCTCTTTAGTTTTGGGAACAAGAAAAAGTCACATGGGGCCAAATCCGGTGAATATGGTGGCTGAGGCATGATTGTGGTGTTGTTTTTGTCCAAACAATCTCTCACAAGCAAAGATGAGTGAGCAGGGGCATTATCGTGATGCAAAAGCCATGAATTGTTTTTCCACAATTCTGGGCGTTTTCTTCGTATTGCTTCTCGCAAACGGCGCATAACTTCAAGATAATACTGTTTATTGACCGTACGTCCATATGGTAAGAACTCCTCATGCACCACGCCATGGTAATCGAAGAAAACAGTGAGCAAAACTTTGACATTTGACCGAATTTGGCGTGCTTTTTTCGGTCTTGGCTCATCTGGGCTCTTCCATTGGGACGATTGGACTTTGGTTTCGATATCATAACCATGTACCCATGATTCGTCACCAGTTATGACCTTTTTGAATAAATCTGGGTCGTCGTTGACGTCATTCAACAGTTCTTGAGCGATGCTCATTCGACGGTTCTTTTGGTCAAAATTTAGCAATTTCGGAACAAACTTCGCTGACACACGTCTCATGCCCAAAACGTTAGGAAAAATTTCATGGCACGAGCCAAGCGATATACCAACATCCTCAGCAACTTCTCTAATAGTGATTCGACGATTTTCCAGAACAATTTTCTTCACTGCTTGAACGTTTTCATCAGTTGTTGACATGCTTGGGCGTCCAGAGCGAGGCTCGTCATTGGCATCTTCCCGGCCATCTTGGAAGAGTTTGTACCACTTGTAAACATTTTTTTTACTTAGAACAGTTTCACCGTATTCCACCGTCAACATTTCAAGTGTTTCGGAGTACTTTATTTAATTTTTTACACAAAATTTGATGCAAATCCTTTGATCCATATTTTTCGATAGCAATAAATCGCCGAGCACGCAAAACACTTATAACCTTTACGCCTCTCACAACCAAACAAAAAATGCTATACACTTGAAACTTGGTACAGATGTTAGGGAAGAGTGTACCAACATAACAAAACAAAAAAATCGATAATCGAAAGTACGTTGCCCGTGAAATTTGAAAAGTCACCTTACTTTTTGAACACACCTCGTATTTTGCCTTTTTTTAAAGCACGAATGATTTCAACCAGTATTTCCGAACCTTTGATATAATGGTCCAATTTGGCCTCTATTATTCTTCCAAGTGATTGTACTGAAATCATATATTCCAGTCAAATACTTTCATTTTTCAATTTCTTGAATTTCTGCCGCATTTGAATGCTTAATTTGTATATCCATCATTTTGTAGAGTTTGTCTGTTACGGTGATGATTATATGAGTCCTATCATTGGAGAATTTAAGGATATTCTTTTGGTCCGCGTATTATTGATTAATATTGGTTTCTATTTTATTGGTTTTGTCAATGGTTACTGATCCAAATAAACTATGACATAACCTGCCTATACCTCCAAAAGGTAGCAATCTCTTTGTTCTAATATCTTTAGGTCCTTGAACATCGGGAGGTTGGGTATGTCTTATCTTCCTAATAGCTTCTTTTAGTCTAAGAGCTGGTGACATAAAAATGCTTGGTATAAGGTAAACGCAATATTATTACGTAAAGAGATCACATTAGTGCTACCGAAGATTGAGTCATCAGTCTGTCTGCGCGCCCAGGAAGATTAAAGCGGGGGCGAACCACCAAAAATGCGATATTTTGTCGAAAAAAAAAATGATCGGACTCATGGATAAAAGCTACGAATATTAATAGTACTGTTGATTATAAAACTCGGAAAATTAATGCCAGACGATTTACTGGAGGAAAAAGTACTGACAGAAGACCATAAAGATGAGTAAAATCAAGTGAAAAAAAAATGTTATGACTCACGCTTAAAATTACTTGGTAACAATAAATTAATAATTAATGAACCTAAATGACAAATGACAGATGAAAATTCGGAAGATAACATCGAGACAGACTGTATCAAAGAACGCGGTTTCGAAGTGATTGAATACGATATATACGCTATTATAGTATGTTTTGTATACGGACATTAAATTTTCGTTTCGATTTTATCTTGAAAAATAAAATATTAATTTGTTGCTTGCTATAAAAGGTTGATACAATAAAATTAATAACAATTGAACTGTTATTATAGTATAAGTTTTGCTTTGTTATGATCGCGTACACACTATAAATCATTTTGGATGTAATCCTTCTGTTGATGCTT